TAGCGATTCATGTTATATGTACAGTTTACAAATGTTTAATAAAGCACACATAACTAGCCTGACAGAGGGTTAAAAAATAATAATAATAATAATAAAGAAGATTTTTTCTAATAGTTAAGAAAAACAAAAAAATTATTTCAATTAGACAGATCTTTTTTAAGAGAAGAATTGTTTTCTTTTTGAATTTTTTTAATAAAAATATGAATTATTCTTTTTTTCTAATTTCTTTTTCTCTTTTTTTTTTTTAATTTGGCAATTTATAGTTTATAGGTAATCTATAGTGATAAACTATTGATAATGAATCTAGTAAATAGAAATTTTTTATCAATCCTCTAATGAAGTAAAATATTGTTTCTTAAATCTTATTTAAAGTATTTTGATATAATAATAAGTTAGTCATTATATAAAAAATCTATAATATTGTAAATAATTACATAATTTCTCAATAAAAATTAAGCTATATAGCATGATTATTAATTAAAAAAAAAAATTAAAATTAAAAAAGATTTATAATTTTTTTTTATAAACTATAAAATATAAAGAAGTTGAAATAAAAATAATAGTAAATTCAAATAGAAAAAAAAAATAATAAGTTTTAAATAAGTAAAGTATAAGCAATTTATTTTATTAACAAGTGTAAAATTTATAGTTATAATAACATTATTATTTTAATATTTTTTTTTTAAAAAAAAAAATAATAATTTTTATTTATAATTAAACTTATATCTTTAAATTAAAGAAATTATAAATAACAAATTCAAAAATAATTTATAAAAGATGTTAAAAAACGAGACTATTATTAGCAAAGATGGTAGAAATTATATTAAAAAAAAAAAATACAACTTCAATTAATTCAAGTCAAAATATACTTAAATAATAAGTTTATAATATTACAAACAGATTAGTGAAAAAATCTCTCTCAGTTATTATGTATAAATATTGTAGAAGATTTAATATAAGCAAAGACTTAATAAAACAAGAATACATAATTAAACATTAAATAGTTTATTAAAATAATGAATAGTAAAATTGTTATATATCAATGGATAAAATAGAACAACTCTCTTTAAATAATCAAATGCTTCTTGAAATTTCTTTTCAATGAGTTGATACTCTTATTGAGATATTCTTTCTTCCTGACTATTTGAGAAATTTATTCATTCTTGATTTTGATTTCTTTCTTGTATATCTGATAAAAAATTTAAAAATTTATTAAATTGTTTGCAGTAATATAAAAAAAACCTGAATTTCAATATATTGCTTTTTAAAAATTTTGGACTTGGGCTACTTATTAAAGTCGAATTTGCATTTCAGGATACAATTTATCCATAATGTATACATTATAAACGGTATATAAAAATGATAGTAAATTTGCAAAATACTTTTTATCGAGGTCAAATACACGTTATACAAAATTTTGGGCCACAGTTTCTCTAAAACCAAATAACGATTGTAGAGTTTAATACATGATTGAGATTATATTATTTTCGGTGTTGATTATTATTATCGTGAAAGAATAGATAAATACGTAATACCTTAATAAAGATTAAGCGATCATGTAATTTTATTATTTTGGTTTCATTTTGATGTGTCGAATAATAAGTTAAGCATTGTTTTGTTTCGGAATTACTAAATTTTTTATTGCTCTACTGAATGACGCATTCTTTGCCTTTTTCTTCTTTTTCATTTAATTTAATCAACTTATTTTGTTCATGATCTGTACGCGTCAATGTCCCGCCTTTTGTTAATCTTTCTATTGCGTCCTTATTTCCATGTTCAGCAGCCTAAATCCATGATAAAATTGAATGTTAGTTATCGCGTATAACATGAAACATCACATGGTCGATAAAATACATACTTTTGTATACCAAGTATTGGCAGTAGAAGGATCGATAGGAACGTGAATTCCGACTTCGTAAAAATATCCCATTGCAAATTCCGCTACTGGTAATCCTTTCGCTGCCGCCCTTTCAGCATACTCGTACGCTAGCTCCTCATTTTGCTCGAAATAACCTTCACAACCACACAAATACCACTTACATAATGACATATCCGCTTCCGTGTAACCTTTTTCAGAAGCTCGTCTGTAATACTGGATCGATAACAAGGGGTCAAACGGACATCCTAGGGCTGCATATTCATAACATGACCCCATCTTGAACAGTGCAGCTGCATGACCTAGATTTGCAGCTCTTAGGATCAACTCTTTCGCCTCATAATCATCAGGCACTACCAGATCATCAGGAACTTCGACTTTACTATATTCTCGGGCTAATATCATTCCATAAATATAGGCACCATCGGGGCATTCCTCATTGGCCTTCGATGCTGCTTGTTTCAAATATATAAGCGCTTGTTTAAAATCTATGTCTTGTTTAAGCTCTCCATGCATATATACCAATGCTAGACGCTGAAAGATTGGTAAAAAATGGGTGTAAATTGAAAGTACGAATATATATGTCATGCAAAAAAAATACATTTAAGAAGACCTACGTTCGTAGCTACTATATCACCGAGAGATGCAGCTTTCTTATAAAATTGCAATGCACGCTTATAATCTTTATCTTTTTCATGATATTCGGCGACTTTGCGTTTTGCTTTCGAGAATCCTTGTTTAGATGAAGATAAATATAGTTTGAAAGCCTTCTCTTCATTTTTTTCTTTTCCGTGAGTCCCATACTCATACCATGTGCCCTTGAAGTATAATGCTTCCGAATAATTATTCTTTGCTAACTGATTAATCCAATAGATAGCTTCTTCTTCTAGTTTATTATTTGTTTCCGAGCCATTGTTAGGAGCCTCTGCCATCTCTGCCATTTGCATAAGAAATTTCGCATAGTCCATTTGAATGGAAGGATCATTTGTCTTTTTAGCCGCTTCACGATATGTTTGTAATGCATTTTCGTCCAGGGCCAAAGTTTTTGATGTCGCAGTCCTCCTCCTAGCAATTTTTTCGTCTATCAGTAACTTCAGAGTAGGCATCTTTGAATTACGGTCAGGCGTGGGAGTTCTGTTCCCTCCGGAAGCAAACCAACTACCTCTATTTCCACCAGACAATGAAATTGGTATAGGTGCACCATCCGGGCCAAGCGAATTTCTAGAGGAATTTAAGGTTTGCTGAATCGTCGATAATTCAAGATCCGAATGTTCAGGTATCATAGCATATTGTTGTACTCCATTATCATCTAATGTCAACTGATTTGACGAACTCCAAGAGTTCGATTCAGTTTGATCAGGTTTTTTCTGATATTGGGTTTTATTTTCCTTTATTGGAATAGGTGGTAAAACCGAACGATCTGTGTGTTTTGGGAGGTTTTGCGGCGCTTGCTGTTGAATTGCAATCGCCTGTATATCATTTATTAGTTCTTGTATAGGATATCCTTGGTCTTGAGACTCATAGATCGGTCTATTTGTGAAATCAGCATTTGATTCATAATGAACCGGCTGGTCATTCTGTATATATGGAGAATGTTGAGGTGGAATATAAGTATTCTCGAAGTTATAATTGTCACTGCTGGATTGCGCAGATTTATGGGGGCTTGAAGGAAAAGCTGGTTGGCCGTATATTGTACTATCTGGATTCTGATTTTGCGCTATGGACCATTTACTCTCATCACCAGCATACCAACTTTGTGTTCCAGAAATTTGACGACTCTCATATTCATCTATATTTTGATATTGTGGTTCTATGACATTTTGAAATTCGCTTTGCACAATTGGTAAAAATTTCTGAGGTTTAGGTGCGACTATTGGAGGGAATGATTGATTGGATGCATGATATATAATCGGATCTGGAGCTGGGAAATTTGAAGGTTCACCAACATTTCTATATTGTTGAGAAAAATGACTGGTAGATTTACTTGGTATTGGTGGTAGCGGTCTCGGACCTGCAACAGATCTCGTTCTCAACAGAGGTGTTGAAACATGAGAACGTCTTCCACTGCCTTCACTAAAAGATTTGCTGTGATGACTTCGTGTTTCTGACATTTTTAATATAATGATTTCTTAGCTTACAACACAAATGGTATGTTTGAATAAGTAGAATAGGGATATAAAATTCAAATTTTGAAAGAAATTAAATCTATTGTATTTATAGTTGAATAAAAATGGAATGGAAATCGACTTCTATTTTTCCTTTTAATAGGTTTTCGGTAGAAAGTTCCGAGGCGTACACATCATTTGACAAATTTGGTATTTATCTACTGCAATGAGTTTCACCACAGTAAATGCATTATATTAAGATGTGAATGTTCATATATTACCACTATAGTTTCTGTCGTAATAATAATCTGCGGTTGGGTTTGCACTTACACACATACGCCGCACTTAGCTATAAGTTTATATAAAGTGTACTTTTGATGACAGAGCGATCGGTAATGATGAAAGGTTAACCATAGCCGAAGTTATTCTCCTAAAGAATATTTCCGATTTACATATGTATATTCTAAGCGTGTATTGCATACTACTTACTATACTGTTTAAAAAAACGATACTATTTACTGTAATTGATAAATAAATAAGAATAAATAGAATACAAATTCATTTGAACAGCATGGAATATACTATTACTTTCTATTTCTAACAAACTTGTTATAGACACTAAAAGTCTCTAAGTTTGATCTTGGAAACAATATTTTATTCCATAGTGGATTTTGGATTGATAAACATCATATTCAACATGTCGTCATTATCAAATGTACTATTAAATTATCTAATAGGAAATAATTAGAAAGATAGATTAAAAAAAAGAAAAAACACTATTAGTTTCTTAGATTTGTATTTAAATGTAGATTTTTTCTCTTGACTATCTAAAAAACTTATCATTTTGATTTAATCTTCAACATACATTATTTATTGAACTCATCTATTAATCCAAAAGAATTTATTGTCATAGCTTAATTAGGACAAGAAGAAAATTCTTATCAAAAATTTTGCTTAATTAGAATAAAAAATCTTAGTTTAAATAATTAGTTATTTTTTATTACTTGAAAACTTATTTCTTAAATCTTATTAATTTTATAAATTTATAATGTAAGTTAACTTTATTTAAAAAAAGAATAAAAACAAAATATCAAAATCTTTTTTTATTATAAATAACATTATTAGTACATAGAATTGCAATCAATAAAAGTCTATTTATATTTATTATTAATGTATCTTATGAAACCAGTTATTTTTAATAAAATTCATATTATTAAAAATTTTAAAGTTAAATTAAATAAAATTTTTAGAAAATTAAGAAAATAAATAATTAAAAAAGAGTAAAAATAATAAATAAAAATATTCTAATTTTAAATCTTTATTTATTTATCTTTTTATTATAAAATTTTTTATAAATATACAATATATTACAAAATTTTTTTAATATTATATTATTTTTTTTATAACAAAAAAAAATAATATTTAATTTCTTTAATTACTATATATTTTATTAAATATAAAAATTTATAAATTTTTAATAATATACTATATTTTAATATTGTTTTTATTTATAGTTATATATTTTTATTGAGATAATATAATAAAATTTTTTTAAATTTAATAAAATTGTATTTATTAATATTATTAAAGTAACAAGAAAAAAAATCAATTTTAAACTATATACTTAATTTTATTTATTAATTAAAATATTAATAAAAAATTTTGATATATACTCTTTCTAATAATTCTTTGATCACACATAAAAAAAATGTTTGTAAAAATTTTTATACTTCTTTGCTAACAAAGTCTTTACACTTTCATTAAAACAACTTGAAACTTGTCTTCATATATCTTTCCTATCTTTCCTTACTTGTTTATAAACTCCTTTGAATAAAAACTTGAGTCTCTAGTAGCCTGAAAAGACTCAAATACACTCTTCCTCTACTAAAGACAAGAAGGTTCTAGGAAGTAAAAAGACTGACAAGTGAAGTATTACCTTACAGAACTAGAAGTAACAAGAAATAGAGGTTCTGTTGA